ATCTCTGCTCATCTACACCCTACGTCACTGAGGCCATTGATTTGCAAATGTCAATAGTTTCTATTTCAGTTGTTTAATTTGGTTTAATAAATAATGTTTATATTGGCGAGCGGTGTGTCGACCTTTTTGTCATGGCCTTATGAGCCATATTATTTAATAAAACAATGTGTTTATGCTGTCAATTATGTTGCCATACAGACTAATACTGATGACAGATCACTGTGATATGTCATGGAGATCTACCCCTCACTGATTAAAAGAAAATAAACAAACATAGCTATGCCAAAAATATTCAAGTTGAGGCTTTAAAACAGAATTTCACTAATGACCTAGTGACATCACTGGCTGAGCTTTTATATGCAGTAAATTGTATTTGCCTTTTTTGGTATAACTGTCTGAAAGCAACTTATTTTTAAAAACTGCTTTTTTCAGTGTTTTCCAACAGAAGCTGCTGGTGACGGGGTATTCAGTGACACAAAGCAACTCAAAGATTCTTGAACTTTATATGTGTTGAACTTATTTTGTTGTTAGTTTGGTATGTTGCTTGTGCAACATACAGTATGTCCCCCAAGAATAAAAACAACTCTGGGCCTAGTACTTAGAGGAAACTGGATGTTGCTTAAGGAAGAGAAGGAGCAGCCTCCTGTGACCTCGAGAAACCTCGAGAGGAGTAAACAGAAACAGGAATTTGTGGGAATAAAACAGGAGGAAAGGGATTGTTTTTAAAGTGGGAAGTGAGGGTGGAGAAATGAGAGAAAGACTGATACGAATACCAGTGGAAAAAATAATATATTGCTCCTTTGACACACAGCTTATCACCCATGATTCCTTTCTACAACTAGTGCGCTCATGAGAGAAGAAGAGAAAGTTTGTGTGTATGTGTGTGTGGATAGCAGTTCCCTTTGTGTCCACAGCTGAGAGACTTTGACCATATAGGGCAGCTGTTCCTCAGTGGATGGAGAGAAATGCCTGAAATGTGCCTGTGTGTCTCTGCAGGGTTGTACTCTTGACATCTTTTGCTGCTCTTTGCAGCAACATGTTCTCTGCTTTGTATGCTGAAGCCATCAGCAAATCTACAATCCTGATCTGGACTTTCTCATTTTCTTCTTTGAAAACTAAAATGCCTTTTTTAACATCTGCAGACTTGCTGCTTGCATCTGTATATGACATCCTTCTGGAACTGAAACATGTTGCCATAGTGAGATGCATGCCAGATGTTTGACAGTCAAGGCCAAACATCCAGCAGTTTTCCTCATTTTTGCAAGTGAAGAGCAAACTGAACATACAAAAGTTCTATTAGAAGATATTGAAGGAGTCTGACAACATGACTGCACTTACGTTACTGATCTGATCCTGTGTCTTCTTCACTCTCTGCATCTCTGGAGTATCGACCACCACACTGAAACCTTT